TCATGTGACACAGAACTGATTTTTTTCAGAGTAGTGTGGACACAAAAATCCAATTTTTATCCAATCAGATCTGAGCTGCGTTCATATGTCGTCCTAATAATTGTAACCTTTTTAGGAGTTTGTACAGTAAATATGATAGATCACTAAAAAAAACTTTTTTTCTTCACTTTGACTTCACCCAGGTACACACAGGTGTTCGGGCCTTCCAGTGCCCTCACTGCCCTCTCACCTTCAAATGGAGCTCTCACTATCAGTACCACCTGCGGCAGCACACAGGCGAGAGGCCGTACGTGTGTAAGGAGTGTGGCAAGTCTTTCAAGAACACCAGCTGCCTGCGTAGACACAGTCAGATGCACTCTGGACTGCGACCTCATACCTGCTCCATCTGCTCAAAGTCTTTCTCCCAGACATCAAACCTCAAACAGGTGAGCACAGCCGGTACACACCTAGCTATGACCTCATGTTTGGATAGATCTGCTTTTATCTCATCAACTGTTTTCTCTGTGTGTCTTCTTTGTCTGTGAGCAGCATGAACGCACCCATTCTGGTGAGAGACCCTTTCAGTGCACACACTGCAATAAAAGCTTTACACACTCCTCCAACCTCCAGCTCCACCTGCGCACACACTCCTCAAGCAAGGACTTCAAATGCCCGTACTGTGCTAAGGAGTTCGTCATGCACTCCTACCTGCAGAGGCACATCCGCACCCATGGCAGTGGGGTTCCCCTGCCCTGCCCCGGTGGTGGAGGTAAAGATGGAGTTGCTGTGAAAGCCAGTGTTGGGGGAGTAACAACCACCACTACCCTGCTCAACCCCATCACCTTGGAAACCTCAGGAAACCATGGCAGCCTGATTGTGTCCCAGCCAACACTTAACATCCCCCCCAACACCTCCCAGAACTACTTTATGATTCAGACAGCTAGCGGCCTGCAGCTCATTCCTCTGTCATCCCCCGCACCAACCCCTCCTCCTCCTCCTCCTCCTCCTCCTCCTCCACCACCACCTCCGTCCCAGCCCCAGAACTTCCTCCTTCTACAGTGCCCCTCCAACAACGGCAGCCAGTCCAGCTTGATTCTCGTCCCCGCGGCAAACAACCCTCCACCAGCTCCGGAGCCTCAGACCCTCCCCGTGCTTCAGACTATCCAAGCTCTCCAGCCTGTCCTTAACCAAACACAGACTCAGATATCCCAGTTTCCGACCATATCACAGCAACAACAGCAGACCAGGTTTATAATCACCAACAATAATAATGCAAACACTCCTGTTGCCACGCCAACACGCACTCTCTCAGCCAACTCCCTTCTGACCAAGCCCATATTGGGAAAAAGCACACGAACTGCTCGGGGCAGACGAGGACGCAAACCAAAAGCCACTCTTCAGAAGTGTGCAGCAGCTCCTGTCAGTCAGACTGCAGGTGGAGCTCCGTTGGTAACAAACTGTAATGTGACGAGTGTCTCACAGACTGTTACTGCTGCCAACACCACAGAGTCATCATCTGTATCCACAGTGTCACACTCTCCCCTGTCAACATCTTGCACTGCTGTCCCAAGTCTCTCATCCTCCACCACTGTAGCCCCCACAGTGGACACCTCAGGACCGCCATCAACTGTTACCATGGTTACACCAGCTACCACAGTAGCCACAGCATCTGTTTCTTCTCCTGTCTCTGCTCTGGAACGGAAACCCAATGCCACAGTGGGGCAAATAAGGACAGAGGAGAGCATGACGGGGAAACAATTTGTGTTATGTTTTGATAATGAAGGACAGGCCAAGGAGGGGATGAATATGGAGGAGCACGGGCAGTCATACGTGTTACAGTTTGAAGGGGACGCATCAGGAGAGGCTGTGCATGGAGGGATGGGTGGGGAGGGGAAATCACTTGTGTTGCAGTTCAAGACAGATGGTCGAGGTGAAGGAGCAAAGGGTGGAGATAAGGGAGGGATGATGTCACTTTTGCGTGACTGGGGTGGAGAGAAGCAAGGGGAGAGAGAGTCAGGAGAGGAGGGCGGCCAGGGAGAGTCTTACGTCCTACATTTCCACACTGAGGCACAGGACAGTGGTCCATCCAGTGCTACCTTCAGCCAAGGGCAGGACACCAGCCTGCAGCTTTCCTGCACCCCTACCCAAAGTTTGGTGCCACTTGACGGGCAGGAGGTCGTGTTTGAACTAGGAGGTGAGACCAAGATGGAGCAGGAAGCTGAGGAGGGTATGCAGATGATAGCACTGATAGAAGGTGAAGGGGGAATGATGGGAGAAGAAGGGGCAGGTTGCAATGCTGCAGGCGGGAGGGTTGCTGAGGGTGGAGGAGCCATGGAGGGCATATTTCAGCTGGGAAACGGAGAGGAGATTGTCATAATCGAGGTGAGCACCAGTAGCTTAAGAGAAGGAAGGATGGAGAGAGGAGGGGATGGAGAAATCTCGAGTAGTGAGGCAAAATATGAAAGCATAACAGCTGAGGCCAATGAAAAGTCTCTAAAGGAACACAGCTCTGCAGCAGAGGTGCAGACATCAGCTGAGGACACAATAAGAAATGGACCTATAACTAACTCTAAAGAGATGCAGTTCTCTAATTAAAAACCAGTGTGCATGTTTCAGAAGAAGAAAGTGTGTGTGCGAGTGAATGCCTCACTGTTTGTGGGCTTGGTGTGTTAGCACTTTAGAGTTCTCCAGGAGCTGATGGGGAACATGCAGTTAGATGAGTACTGTGTTGTAATCCCATGGTGCCACATACTAGAAATGTTATACATTCAAATAGGCTGTACATGGACCTTGGAATATTCCTAAATATATTAGTTTAAATGATACTGTCATTGGCAGTTTGTTTAATAAGTAAATAAGTTTTTTGTGAATAAATGTTGTACATGGCCCAATTTCTTCACAATGTTAATAGTAAATAGTAGTTAATTATTAATAAATCTGTCAATACCTTTCATCATTTGCCTTTTGTCGCTTTCTTGTAGTTTGTCCTTTTTCTTTTTAAAGGGGAGCAACGCCCATTTCCAAAATTCATACATGTCATTCCTGTGGTCTAAAGGCCCAGACACATCACACCAACAATCAAAGAACTAGTGGCAATGAAGGCCGACTGTTGCTTCACCCCACGTTGCCTGTGTCTCGGCCAAAAAGTTGCACTTGAGCACACCACACAGATTACAGCCAACTAGCACGTGCATTTTATGCCTGCATGAGAGGAAATAACTCCATACCATCAGGCGGCAGTAGTCTGTTTTCATCATTCAAAAAGGGTAACAGGAAGAACAGGACGGATATGAGATGCTAGTTAGCCAGTCAGCACATAAACAATCCGGTGTTGAAAGAGCAAAGGATGTTTACCGTGTGCTAGCAAATGATAACACAAACAACTATGGACTGTTTCTGCAAAAGAACTAAATGGTTTCTAACAGTGGTACCCAATTGGTCCAGCCAAGCGATCCAGATTTGTCCTTAGTCATTAGTTCAAGGTCCACACAGTTTAATATATTTAGCGTCATACTTGAGATTGGCCATGTCGTCAAGCTAGTTTGCTGTCTCTGTCAAGAACCTGTCTGTTGGTCACTCATTGTGCAGAAGGAAACAGCTCTTCAAAATACAAACTTTGTGCCGGAAATTCAATGTACTTGAAAATAAAGTGTGTTTAATACAAACTTGACACACTAGCCACTTGTGGTCCATTCAGAATGGACCCGTGACCCACCAGTTGGGAACCACCAGTTTATGACATAATCTTAGCTAATGCAACAAGTCCGTTTCAATCTCATCCTATGGACTTTAGCCGCTTGTTTACTTTCCTCACTTACAATTCTTTTCTTGTGCACTGAGCTGAGCTGCCAATCAAAATGATTTCATCCACCAACACCCACCATCGTCTCTGATGCCGTTAAAAAGCTGACAAGGGCCAACTAGAGCATCGGATGCTCACTAACAGTTGACAGTGACCAATGGCCGACCATCAGCTTGGTGTGTGAGGACCTTAAGACAGTCCAAAAAGAGCTTAAACAAATTTGTGATGTCATCAAGTGTAAAGTCTGGAGCTGCTCCACAGACAATGAAATTAGAAAGATGTTCTATGACATTGAGAGCACCCAGGGGAATGTTCTGTGTATATCTTCCTGAGACCCTGTATCTTCATAAGATTACATCACATTTTGGGATTACTGACCTGTTGTCCTCATTCGTTGACACGTTTTTGTGCCATTTAGTGGTAGTTAGAGCACAATACACTAATTCATGTAAAAACAAGATGGCAGCCATCTCTGCCAAGTCAGTCTGCAGCCGATCCTGACACAAAAGTGGACAAGATTTAAGACCTGATCACATTATATGGTTGAAACTTGTTTATTTATTATTAATAATGTTTGTAGTTTAATATGGCAACAAGTTTGACCAATTTTAGCAACATTAATAAGCCAAGACGCTAATTAGGAAGTACTCATTTGAGGACATTAGGACTTAATTGTTGTTGATAATGTTGAGTTTTTTTTATTTTGTTTAGTTTTTTTGGGTACTATTGATCCCAAACAGGTAGGAGAAATTAAAAATGCATACCAAACAAAAGTTCAGCCCTCAAATTCAATTCAATTCCTTTTATTGTCATTGTAAATGAATACAATGATATTCAACGTGGAACTCATTAAGAATAATAAATAAATTATAAAGGAGGGGATAAATATCATTCATTCATACTTTAAACACACACAGCACACAGTCTCCTATTCTCACATCAGTCTCCTATTCATTGTCTATGGAGCCGCTCTAGATTTTATACTTGATGACATCACTCGTTGGAGACTTCTCAAGTTTCTGGCTTTAAAAGAGAGTAGCTCATGTTCACAAATATTGCCTGAACTTTCTTTAACCATAGAAACAACACACTATAATTCTTAATTCAGGTGGTGTTTCCCTTTAAATAAAGCACACAAAGGTCACTGCATTTGTTGTTTACGCTGCGTTCGCCATTCACGTATCCTTTGCGCAGTGCGGATTGCACATACGCAAATGGCGTAAATAGCCACATTGAAAACGAGCAACGGGACATAAAACAGAGTACGTCTGTGTTCTGAATCCCTCCTTCCCGTAAAAACCACTCCGGTCCGGTCATTCAATCAAACGTGCCAACCCTGCTCGGACTCCACAACAAACCGATCCACGCTGAGTGTTTTCACCATTTTCAGTTTCATTTCTGCAGCGTGGCGGAAAAGGTAAGCGCAACCGGGGCTCAGATCAGGAGCAGGGGGGGTCTAAGTGTGTCAGCACGTCTTAATAACCATATAAGGATCTGAACAAGGGCTCTTTGCGACTGTACCTTTGGATGATCGCCGTTAACCGTGCAGATGAAAGCTAGGATGGCGTGCATTGTTCAGGCACAGACTGATGGTGACACATGCATGCTACAAATCCTCCATAATCCCCATCTGTCTTTGTTGTTTTGGAGCCAGCGTGGGTGTGAGGTTACAGTGCAACTGCAGGCTCACTGAAGGCGAAGTCTAGTGCATTGCATAATGTGGACACTGGAGATATATTGACCCATTTAAATTGCAAGATGACACAGTGTATTTTGCACAATTCTGCATGAAACAAGCTTTAAACTGTTCAGCGCTTTCATTTTAAATGCATGCCTTGAATTTTGCAGTACTTAATTGTATATTTTTTTCCCTTGTTATGTTTATTGGCAATACACCAGATTCTGATTCTGAGTAAGGTCTTCAACAGTATCAATTATCTGCATTGATTTGGTATCAAACATCCCAAAGTTGCATCCCACTGTCACCTGTTTTCCCCAAATTACAACCTTTTCCTTTCGCTGTTAGAGGCCTGTAGAGAAATTTGTTTGAGGACCCGCTGTGAGCCAATTGGGGTGGGCTGCAGGGATTTACCAGAGCATTTTGTGCACCGGGCACTCAGGCTCCTTGGCATCAGAGGGTTGCAGGAGAGGAAAGCCACCAGAAACATCAGTGAGGCTGCAGAAAAAGCCTCAAGGTGCGTGCTGCTTGGACACAAGCCAGGGACTGATCACCCCCAGCTGGGTCGCCCAGGTGAGGGTGTCTGATGTTCAATGACCCGAGACACCCTATGACCCTGGGTTCATCACTGATGATGTGCCCAAGCCCCACCATCTAGGTGTTTTAGATAACTTCTAAATGTTTCTTTAAATGTGTGTTTACAGGGTCCCTGTGCACACTGTGTGGATGTGCGTAGAAGCAGCGGTGCAGCAATCCTGCTGTTGAGAGCATAAAGCCTAAATATGGTGAGGCTGGAGCTGGATCAGGTGGTGATGAGGAGGATGAAGGAGGACGACATAGAGATAGTCAAAGCCCTCATCAAGGTTTGTATATATAGATTTTAGATTAGCTGCTTTCATCATGGTGGGAATTTACTGATTGCTTTTTTTTTTTTTTTGCCTGTGTCTCTCCAGGAGGGCTGCGAGGGCACAGAAAACCGTCTCATCCTCCACATCCTCACTCGTCCGCTCTGCCTCTTCATCTTGGCTGTCTTCTCCTCGATCCTGCGCTGCCTTGTTCATTCCTTCATCCTGGCCCTCGCTATTCCTGTCTTCCTGCTAATTATCTTTCTCAAGATCACCATGCCGCGGTCCACAGGGGTCCTGGGCAGCAGCCGTCCCTCTTGGGACTATGTGGGTAGCAGTTACAGAGGGACAGAGGAGGAGACGCTGCAGAATCCCTACTGTAGGATCAGTGGCAAGACACCAGGGTCTAAAAAGGTTAGTCTGCTGGTTTGAAAGTCGTTTTAGTTGTCATTTAATTCAAAGTCAAATAATCTTATGTCTTTTACACAGCCAAGGCGCAGAATCACACCCAAAGACAAAGAATTGTCAACAGAGAACGTCACTCCAGAGAGGGAGCAGGAAGCAGGCCAGGTCTGGGTGGCAGAGTGTGACGGTGAGATAATCGGCTGCGTCTTCAGGGAAAGCGAGAAGCGAGCGGGCATCAGGAGGATCTGCAGGGTGGTGACGGGCTGCTGGTACCGCAGGGAGGGTCTCGGCCGGCTGCTCGTCCAGAGCCTGGAGCAGAGGGAGAGGGAGGCTGGCGCACACAGAGTGTATGCACACGTCCCCTACCCCTCCAAAGTTGGGGAGGCCTTTTTCAGGAAGCTGGGCTATCGGCAATTAGGGGAGGAGAATGATGAAGAAGAAGATGATAAAGAGAGGAAGATGGAGACTCCAGAGCGAGGCTTTCTTGGACACCCTCTCACTAAAGTGTTTTACAAGGACTTGTGATTGAGAGATGGTGGACTCTTGGAGAGGAGGAAGTGGCTAAGGTGAAGAAGCCATAACATATAACTGTGGAAAGTGTCATTGCTGCAGTGTGTTTGGATGTTTGATAATTTATTGAATATTTGTGTTATTTATGCCAATATTTATTTACTCTATGTGTTGCCGTTATGTTTGTTTTAAAGCTGGGGTAGGCTGATTAATTTTGGCATCATTGGACAAAAATCTTATAATAAACTTTGAGCATGTTGTCATTAAAGTGGACTGAGAGAGCAATAGACTTCTGCTTTAGAAAACCTAGCATCTGAGCGGGGACTCTAGACAGTCACAGGTCATTTCAGAGAGAGGGCGTTCCTATTGGCTGTTCTACAAATGCAGATGGATGTGCATGTCCCTTTGGTGAAACCCTGATTCAATGGCAGAGAATCCTGCTGAGAAAGTTGCTATTCCAGCATTAGCAACTACAGTTTCTGCAAAGCAACCAAAAAATGTGAGACAAACTTATCAGAAAGAGTCAGACAATAAATGTAATAAGACATTTCAAGATAATATTTAACACAGAATATGAACATGCAGATTAACAGATTATTTGTGCACTTTAAGATTTAACAGAAGTCTTTGGCGCTTGGACACCAGAGGGAGATATTTTGTGATCGAGCAGCAGGATAAATCGTCCCTTATGGAGTCCAGACACTAGTGGCGGTGGTGGCTGCTGACTCTGAGGCTGCTGACTGCTGAGGCATATGAGGCTGATGAATCTGTAGTAAAGACTAGGTGGTGATGGGGAGGTGGAGGGCGTGCATGACGGCAGCAAGAAAGAACTACAGCAGAGAAAGAACCATATTTAAAATGAGGAGCAATGAGAAAGGCTGAAAGAGAAGGTGTGTCGCTGTGCTATTGGTTGACTGTGAATCAGCTGATGATTCAATTGACCTACCCAGACAATGACACCGAGAGACAGTGAGCAAGCAAGCATGTGTGGATGGAGTGAAAGAAACTTACAGCCTCCGCATGAAAAGTATTGTCTTCTTGACTGAACTTTAACTAGAGCTTCATATGTCAGTATCTGCAGAGCATTTCGAAGACTGTGAGAAAATGGTGCTTATAGTTTAGCCTTCTGCTAACTGGAGCCAAAGGCTCACGGCAGCGGCTTCCTGTTCACGTTTATGTAGCTAACGTTAGAGCCTTGAATCACAACATGTCCGATACCTCACTACCCCCGCTATAGACCACCTTGCTGGTGGGAAAATGGGCAACAACTCCAGAGAAGGACCTCCAGTCTGTGGCAACGGTATCTTTAATTCAGCCATTGAAAAACTCTAGCTCCATGACTCCCAGCCAGATCAACAAACTTTCTGTTGTTGCTGTTACAGAGGTCAGACTTGGCACTGCAGCTGGGCACCAGCCAGCTTTGACACCAGGCTAAATCTGGCTGAATTTGAGCCACTTAAGCCACGGACTGAAGATCTGTCTCCTGAGCTGCTGCCCACTCTCCTCCCAAAGAAGCAGTCCACAGCAGCATTGAGTGTTGCTGTGAGACTGTGGGGTGGCTAGCTAGCTAATTCTTGTCTTATTTGTGGTCTAACGAATACTGAGAAAGAGAGTGGGGGAAGGAGGGGCTGAGTGAATGAGTTGCAGCAACTGTATTTGAAATAAGTTTATTCTTTTTTGCCAGATTTCTGCCTACCCCAGCTTAAAGTATAGTGTTTACTTTTTCATCCTATAAGGTACCATATCTCTATACTCTTAAAACAAATGGTTATTTCTTATTTATCAATTCAAAGTTGACGCCATGAAGCCACAGTCATGCTGTTTTCATCATCATTTATAATGAAATAAAATATTTATGTAAAACGTGTTTCCTAACTGTGTGTCTGTGTGGTTCTTTTTTCTCACAAACTGACACACAGTCAATTTGTGGCTGTGTGAGAGAGACAAGTTGCACGCGTTTGTGTGTGAAACCTTACAGATGTGTAGGAGGATGTACAGTTACTGTATAGGAAGTGTGCGTGGTTGATGTGAATGTGCAGAATTTATGCGCTTTTATCTTTCTGCATTCCTTTGTCACTCAGTCAGTATGTGGGTCCATGAGTCTGCAGAAAAGAGTGCTCGCTCCCTTTTCTTCAGCTTTGTTCTTTTCTCTTTTTTTTTTGGTTTTCATTGTTATATTTATAGTAATGGTAGTATGTGTAGGTTAATTAAATATGTTAGGGCTTCACTTTGGATTGTGGTAACACCAATAAATTTGGATAGTAGTTTGCATTGCAGATTTAAACAGCACATTAAATACAGTATATGCCTTTAGTGCATTCTGACTCAAAAGTGTGTGGTTTGCAGGTGACTGGCAGTTTATGTGACTAAGCGGAGAGGTGCACACAGCCCCAGTCTGAGGCTAACCTTTATATGGTTAGCAGCTCTCACGCTCACATTGCGCATCTACCTCCTGCTAACCTCAGGCCATGTCAGTATAGCATCAATGTGCCACAGATAAACAACACAGGATGTTTGTACAAAGTTAATGTGTTGGGGGAAGGAGGCATATCTCACCTGATGTGTAGACAAATATAGGCCTTTACTGCAAACTCGATCATGCGAGCTGTAGTGGAACATCACTGTCCTTTAATTAACTTAGATGAAAAAGCTGAGACACCCAGTAACATAACAGTGTTGTTACATGCATGAGTAAGTGTGTGTGGTCAGGTCATTTTAACTGTGTCAAAGCTGTATTTTTACTTGCGCCACTTCTTGGTCATCGTCAGGTTTGTTTCTTCATGACTGTCAAAGAGCAGACACCTGTTAGCTGGGCCTCTACCCGCCCGATCTGTAGCTATTATTGTTGTCAGGAAACAGATGTGAGTTCACACACTGGAAAGAAAGTCTGTTTGTGACTGTGGTCATGTGCGTCTGCACGGTATGGCTGTGTGTGAGTGTGTGTGCGCGTGTGCAGGGTGTGGGCGGGTGGGTTTTGGAAAGTATGACTTGGCATTTCCTACACCCCGTTTCTGCCCCTGACTATGGGTTAAATGCACAGCCGTGTCTGGCCATACTGTACTACTCCACCACACACACACACACACACACATCAGAGGGGTGGTAGTGCGCTAGAGCGTTCATGTGTGACTGTGAGATGACCTTGGTCAACTGTGGTCAAACCCAGAGAGCTGGGTGGGAAGTGGTTACATATAGTTTGGCATTTGATCAGCCTCTTGAAGTCGAGAAAAGACACATGCACACAAGATCAAATGTGCAGAGGCATTAGGCTTAGTGCACTGTCAGAGTAATGCAATATGATGTGAGGTCGCTCCGAGCATGCAGACACACATACACATGAATCACTTTAAATTTTGGGGCACCACACAATCATAGGATAAATTAGATAAATTTGTTCCAGATGATGTATAACATATAGACTGTGTTAATGACATGCTCATACAGATGGCTAACACACACACATGCGCACATACACACACAGATGAGCTCCAAAAACAGCCACCCTGGGAAACGGTGAATTCCCCAAACCACAGAGTGCATGAGAGGGTGAGGGGAGTCATGGGAAAGCAGGATGCCTGCATGCAGTGCCACTGAGAGAGCAGACTGCGCCAGAGCTAAAACAGACAGAGCAAAGAAAAGACGAGAGCAAAATAATACACATCCTGATTTGGCGAGGATGGATGACAGCATCTGATGCTTCAAAGGCTCATGAGTGAGATTTATCCACACGCTGTGGTCGGTCAGCTGGCCGGCCGCTTTAGCAAACACGTAGGGTGAGGGAGGTCGATTACAGTTCTGCTCCCAGCCTGACACAGTTTGGGAAAACCCAGATCAGAGGACGGAGTAGGTGTCTGGGAACGCCTAAGGCTCCGCCAAATCTTGGGGCCCTCAGGAGGTGGGGAGAGTAAGCTAGGTGGAAAGGCTGAATAGCAGGAGGGGTCTGTGGCGAACCCGCTGTGGATCAAGGTGAGAAGGTATCTGGAAGTTTTTACTTAATGATCTGGGAAAACTAAAGCGGAGCGGCCAGACTGGATGAGTCTCAAGTGTTTGGAAAGTTCCAGCCAGTTGGCTCACTTTACTGACGTCTGAGAAAAACTCCAAAGGTTACGAATCACGTCAAACACTCCTCCTCTCATGTGTGGTCACCAAGATTATTTTGTAGAATCTCTGTTGTGTAATCTGCCTCCCCAATAAGAGTCCTTTATGGGCTTGTAAAGAGGCAATTAAGAGAATGTTTTCACTTCAATCAGTGTGTGAACTAATGTTTAAATGTTTAGAACACATGCAAATGATGATGCCCTGAAAAAGAATTTGGCACATGAGTAATTTAGTTAAAGCTTTAATTGTTTTGCAGTAAGACAATACAATCCATCCTTCTCTTCTGTATCACGCCCCCTGAACTTACTTTGAAAAATCTTTCTGACCAACCAGAAGCTGCTTCTCTGATGTATGCAGGATGTTTATGTTTAGAGGTATATGTTCTCAGTTCCCCTCCCTTTAATCCCCCCAACACACACACACACACACACACACACACACACACACACACACACATACACACACGAATACACACACACTTTCGCTCTTTCTCATTTACCTCCATTTAATGCCCACGCCTGCCGAGTGTTAAAGCGCGTCTTTCAAAATGATTACAAAACTAGACAGGTGAGCAAAATGAATACGTTCTATTTTTATAATGCATTTGTCTTTCTGTTTGACACTTGATTATACAGATTACACATGCATGCAAGTAAATTAAATACGTTGTTGGGGTTTTTTAAATAAATGATGATGCTTTGATACCAAAATAAAATTCTTCTGTGTTACTCTGTTCCAATTACGATGGCAGTACACAATCTTTGAGCATTGTGAATTAAAGGTTTCAGTATTAATGACTGACCTGGTTTCGCTAAAAGTTTTGAAACTGAGAGTGACACAAAAATTAAAGTAGTGAATGTTAGTCATCTTCTGACTGTCCATCACTTGCATTTGCTTAACCACAGGCTTTACATGAGTGTTTTTGTGCTAACTTATCAGGATTCATACATGAATTCATGTGTGAGTCATCCGACTAATAAAAGTTTTAAATAGTAATTTATTGAGTTTCATAAGAGAATTAGTGTCAGGCTTTCCTGGCAGAAAGTTAATGAATACTACTGAGATTATCTGTCACCAAAGATTTATAGACCGGCAACACTTTTGAGAATGCTATCATCACTGATGACATGTTGAGTGAATAATCCAGAGCACCACGTTTTTGTAAATGGATCTAGTCCTTTAAAAAAATCTTTAAAGGTTCAGTGTGTAATATTCAGGGGGAAATATTGGCAGAAGTGGAATGTTTTTTCTAATGTGTAATCAAATGAAAATAAGAATTCTGTTTTTCGTTACCTTAATATGAGCCGATTATATCTACATAGGGAGCAGGTCCTTGTCCACGGAGATTTAACAATAGCCCAGAGTGGACAAACTAATAACGCTCTAGGGCCATCCATGATTTTGCGTCAGACATCACAGTTAGCAACCCCTTAGCGAAAAGCCAACACATTCTCACTCTGACCTTGTCACATACTGACGTCTGGTCATGGACTTTCCACGTCCACATACGACGTGCAAGGTACCCTGGGTGCGCTGGTTGTTGACATTCTGGGACACTGCATCAAGTTATGCCTGTTACACGCATTGTCTTCTTTCAAAATAAACGCACTATGTCGGTACAGCACTGCAAATTGACGTTTTTTTCTTCCTTTAACAACAAACACACATAGTTGGGTTTAGGAAAAAATAAAGGGGTTTGGCTTTAGAATCTTACGGGACGCAAACACCGCTCTCTCGGGTAAAAGTCAGTGTTTGCTGGACCCATGCCGTTAAACTATAACAGCAACCAGCCGACGTTAAAGGACGCCGTTTTTCATTGGTTTCTGACATGCAAGTCACTGCCCAAGCACTGGATTTGGACAACTTCGGAGTGAGACCATGCTCAAAAACACCTCTTTTTATGTGCAACTGCTTTATCAAGAGTTTTTACTAGTTTAAATCACTGGGTCTGTTTGTTTTGGAGAGGAAGATACCTCTGTGGATAATTAGTCTTAGTTATGAGAGAAAAAGATGAGCACACATTAGCAGGTGCTGCGGCCTGTCTGTGATGAGCCCAACAATGTATGAAACAGCTTTATTACGGTTGTTTTGGATAGGAAAAATAATTTAGCTCCTGGTAAAAACCTCCTAAAAATGAACACTGAGGGAATTCAAACTGGGAGAAGTTTCATCTGGTTGCAATGTGTAATCCCCACCTCTAGATGCCACTAAACCCCTCAAAATCTTACACACTGTTCCTGTAAATATGCACTGCACCCACCGGTCATTAGCTAATGAAAAGACCACTTTTTCTCCCTTTGTCACAGTGTGCTTTTGCCCCGAAAAAAGTTCATCTACCATTACAAGAACGTGCGCTGGGCAAGGGGCCGCCACGAAACATATCTCTGCTTTGTAGTGAAGAGGCGAGTGGGGCCAGACTCCTTATCCTTTGACTTTGGACACCTCCGCAATCGCAATGGCTGCCATGTAGAGGTTAGTGATGTGGGTCAAGATGGTGGAGCATATAGGATGGGCCTGTTCAGGGGAGGAAATAATAATTAAAAGTATTGGGTTGTATCCCTCTTATTTTCTCTGTTCTCTAATTTCTTCATAGCTGCTGTTCCTGCGCAAACTGGGAGCCTTGTGTCCTGGTTTGTGGGGGTATGGAGGTGCTGGGGAGAAAAGGCTCAGTTACTCCATCACCTGGTTCTGCTCCTGGTCTCCCTGCGCCAACTGCGCCTCAAGACTGTCCCAGTTCCTCAGCCAGATGCCCAACCTTCGCCTCCGGATCTTCGTCTCTCGCCTTTATTTCTGCGACATGGAGGACAGCCGTGAAAGAGAGGGCCTAAGAATGCTGAAGAAAGCTGGCGTGCAGATCACAGTCATGAGTTACAAAGGTGGAGACATGAATTGGTGTATATTTGGTAGAGATATAAAGAGAGAGCAGATGTGTATATGATTCTTGAGCCAGAAACTAATGGAATGTTACACGAGCCAAATTCCACCTAAAAGCCATTGTTTTCCTTATCATGGTCGCCTTCTGGATGTCAACAACAATGATTATTTTTTTCCTCTCTCTTCAGACTTCTTCTACTGCTGGCAGACCTTTGTGGCTCGTAAGCAGAGCAACTTCAAGGCCTGGGAAGAGCTGCACCAAAACTCTGTTCGCCTCGCTAGAAAACTCAACCGCATCCTCCAGGTAGAAGATTAACCGTATTGCATGTCTGACGTCAACCAAAACAATTAGGTCAAACCACTACTAATACTTTTCTGTCTTTTGTTCTCAGCCCTGTGAAACAGAAGATTTGAGAGATGCCTTCAAGCTTCTTGGACTATGAAAAATCCCTGCGACCTCCTCACGTGTTATCATTAAATCTTTCATTTAAGTCTGTTGAGAAAAAGATGTTGATGTTGGTCTTTCACTACAACTGCTAAACTGAGAATGAGAAAAACTGAGAAAAAAATGGCTTTCAGCTTATTGCAAGGCTTTTAACGTTAGGTAGCTGCTGCTTGCTGTTTCTGTAGCAACATGATAATGTAAAATAAAACAATATGCAATGAGATACTGTCTTGTGTTACTGATGTTAAGGTATGTAGGTAATCAACGCTCACATTAGCTTTTCAAAATTTATTTTTGAACGATTTAGCTAACTGTTAACAGTAAAAATGGTAAAGCGTGGTTAAGGACTGACTGTAAATTAAAGGTGAACTCCAGTGACAAATTATTGCACTTTGATGAGGGAGAGACATGTAAAAAACAATGGTTCACACTGAAGCAGCAGAGACAGAGATGTTTGAAATATTAGCCACAAATAGACCAATTTCACTGTAACGTCATGCTAACAACACTTCTGTGTAGACAACTTGCAATTACAGAGATGTGAAATCTGCAAACTTGTTTAATAGATTTAAAGATTTATAGTTAGACACGGTGGTTCGACCTATCTAATGTTTCTGCTGTCCTTGTTTTTGCTTCGCTAGCGTCTGTGATAAACCAAATCTGCCAGCAGGGAAGCTAAGCAATGTAGTGCTGTGGACAGGGGCCACATGAGCTTTTTACTTCTGGTGATTGCATTCATGCTTCAATAATCATGAAAGTGGTGCTCATTTGTGAAGATTATCTTGCTGAATAAAAAGTGTAAGTATAACGAGTGTTAGATTGCCACAGAGCTTGTTTTCAGCAATAATCCAAAATCCCATAAAATTTTTGAGGAGGGATGCAGTGCGTCATCATCTATGGAGCACTCTGTACAAAGCAACACATTTTGTTACCCCATCTTTCTGGTGAATTCTCACTTCTTTCAAGCTATACACCCAAGTTTTGTAATGTAATTATTCAGCCCTAGCTAAAACTATTCATGTGATGTCACTAGAGTAATTTAGGCTCCATACCATGATGAGTAAACTAACCTTTGATGGGAAAATCGGTGGAATGCCCCTTTAAGAGCATCACTGAAGCAGAAGCCGCAGTAGTGAGGCTGTGTCGTCAGTTTCTGCGCACATACACCGTCTATTACGGCCACGTCACGTAGCCGTTAACGCCGTGCGGAGACACCGCTCACCGTCACCACCACCACCGCCGGCGTGCTGCACACCGACTGAGTAAAAGTCAAGATGGCGACCGAGGGTCAGTTCGAGTACGAGTCGGTCCTGTGTGTCAAACCTGATGTCAACGTTTACCGAATCCCACCGAGAGCATCCAACCGGGCTATCAGGTGAGGGGAGGGGGGCGGGGAAGGAGGGAGAGGGGGGCAGCGGCCTCGCAGCGAGATTTGTGAGCCAGCATCCGCGAGCTGCAGCCGTTAGCAGCCGTTGCCCCGGCGACCTACCTACCGAGCTCATCCCCTGATCAGCAGGCTCAAGTAGCGGCCGTTTGTGTGCTGCTGGTCGTTTTTGCTGAGTATTTACAAGGTCATCACGGTTAATACGGTATAACGGCCGGAGTTTAGGCACTACAATGAACTGGCTCCATCTCTGTTAGTGTGTGTGTGTTTATATGCTGTCATCCAATGGCGTATCAGGGGATAATTACTGCTTCAAAGTGATTTTACAGGACAGTTAGCTCAATCATGACACTTTATTTTACCCCACAGATTCTCATTCTGCCTGTCTGACCTTTAAGAAGCAGGCAGTATGGCACACAGCATCCCTGGAGCTGTAAACAATACTCAAGGACACTTCAGTGTGGTCGATGAACCCCCCTGAGAGACAGTGTTGTCCTGGCAGACATCTTTAATATGTTTCTAAGTGACCATGCAGGAGTGCTGTTGTGAAGGTTGACATTGAATTGTTTACCCCGTTTCCCATTGGCTGGTGCTGCAGCTGCATGTGAGTGGACATGACACCAACCAAACAGTAGCATAGGCCTGAATCCCATGAGACACATGATTGGTTAACCAGTGACCATATGTACAGTGAGTAAGGGTGATGATGTAATATTTCAGCCTCAGGTCTGATGCCTTAGTCACGTTCTGTTCACATAGAATAGAGCCGCAATGTCCCTGAGTGTCTGACGAATCACAACAACAGACATGTGCGCCCAAAACACACATCTCCCGTCTTCACCTATATCACTTACATCTCCCTGACTGCTTGTGTGTGGTTGTGTCCCAGGGCGGCCGATTGGAAGCTGGACGCACCCGACTGGACGGGACGTATGCGTGTGACGGCCCGGGGCAAAGTGGCCTACGTGAAATTGGAAGACAAAATCTCTGGTGAGAGAAAAGCAGACAGAAGAGTGCCATTGTTTACTGGCACTGTCACTGTTGTAAATCATTTCACTGTGTGTTTGCCATCCCCCTCTCTGTTACTCATCTATTCCAAAGTGACCCAGCCCACGTCCAAGCATGCAGTTTATTTTGAAGCAAACAGCCTGATAATCTCTTTCTGTCTTTGTCAGTGCATTTCAGGAGTTGACATGCTTGTTGTCCTCAGATTACACTTCGTATTCCCCATTTTTTAATACAATCTAAATACTAGAGGTTGGATCAATCCTCCTGAGCATCAGCCAAACATTTATATCCTGGCCCTATTTTAAATCTAAATGTTTTTTAGTTGAGTTTTGGCACAGTAAATGTGAAATTCATAGTGTTTTAGTGTCTCTTCCTGATCCAAATTGCCTCTGGAGCATTTTGCCAAATAGATTATGAACATATTTTCTTTGTTCCTACCTACAGGGGAGCTGTTTGCCCAAGCACCAGTGGAAGAGTACCCTGGCATCACAGTGGAAACAGTTAGTGACTCAAGCCGCTACTTTGTGCTCCGCATCCAGGATGACAACGGTGGGTAAACTGTTTGTTGCTAAGCTATAAATATTTTGCAAATGTTTTCATAATTTAGAACATGTTTGAAGAGGATAATTTGGACCAGAAATGCACTATTGAAAGTGTTTGTGGTAGAGTACAGATTATTGTGGGGGAACTGTCAGGTTCAGTGTGTTTTTGTGTATATTACCTTGCAGATCTCTTACAAAACTCTAACCCTTGTTGGTTATGTTCGTTTCTCCCCCAGGCCGAAGTGCGTTTATAGGGATTGGCTTCGGAGACCGAGGTGATGCCTTTGACTTCAACGTTGCACTTCAGGACCACTTCAAGTACGCAGCTGCTTCTTGGTCTGTCATGAATCATACCTAATTCAGTCGTGAATTATCTGGTCATACTTTTGCATCTCATCTCCAGGTGGGTGAAACAGGAAATTGAATTAAAGAAGCAGGCGCAGGCTCCAGACAACACCCCTAAACTGGACCTGGGCTTCAAAGAAGGACAGACCATTACTCTCAATATTGGGGTAACCTTATTTTCATTCAACTTTAAGCTGGGGTAAGCAGAAATCTGGAATCTGAATTTGAAAATACCCCCGCTGTCCTAAGCCCCTCCCACCAGATAACCACGGGCATGTCCACACACTTCATGCAGTAAGGCCCTAATCACACAGAAAGCGTTTTAGCAGCCGGGGGCGGCTTTTTAAACTGTTTTTAATGAGAATGAAGCTTTTTGCACGAGGTTTTTGCATTAGGATGCACCTCACATTTCTGTGCTGTAGGCACCTGCCATTTTTGCTGGACGCTCCGAACTCCTTGAGTTGGGCAACTTCAACTCAGAGCAGAAAAGTGCCCTGCGTCATCTCTTTTTTCGTCATCTTTTGATGATTTGAGAGGCAGGCCTTCTGTGGTGGTCACCACAAGTTTACAGTTGGGAAACAATGGAGGAGAAACTGGTGGTAGCGGTTGCTAGATACCCAAAACTATATGGACCAACGATAGACAGCATACGTCAAACTGTCCTCGAGTCATCCTAAAACATGACTGGAAACGGCCATCATTGAAGCGAAGCTCCTGGACCAACTGATGATTCTCCCCATGATCCACCCTTTCTTTAAGGGTCTCATGTACCCACATAGATCTCCATTCCCCTGTGCTCGACATACTATTTGCTGACAGCCTCTCACCTTCAACCAGAGCTACAGCAGGTACCCCCCCCCCCCCCCCTTGAACATTTTAGGAACTAGCTTCTAATTACTGTGAAAAAAAGATGCGGGAGATTGACTACACGGGAAGGTTAGTGTAAGGACGTGATGGTGTGGTTGCCTGGCAACAATAAAAAGGCGCACCAAAAGTCATGTTTTTTACTAGTGGTATTCAACAAAAAAACAAAACAAACAGCAGTGTGGTGCGGCTCGTGTTTTGCAGCCTGCAAAATGCTAATCTTATGTCACTGTAAAGTTGCCCTTTCAGCTGCTCTGTCTCTCTGTTTATCAGACCACAAAGGAAACAAGAATGAGCTAGCTGGCCATCCCACGGTCGCTCTGCCTGCTTTTCAAGGAGGAGAGCAAACAGCAGTTTAGGAGACAGACCTTTTGTTGGCGGCTGTAGGGGTTTGAATTCTGCCAGCGCAATCTCTCAGCACCAGATATCAACGCGGTCTGGTAGCCAGTGGCAGTGCAAGGTCTAACCTGTGTAAAGGAAACAACAGAAAGTTTGCTTGTCTGGCGGGGAGTCAAAGTTGTCCTGCCCCACAGAGCTGGGGTTTGCACTGGCTGGATTCAGGCTGTTATGGCCTCTGACAGAGGGTCAGTCTCAGGAGCTGCTGCCCAGTCCTCTCCCACTGAGGTGGTTTGTAGTGGCAGGGAGTGAGGTGAAGGACACGCTGTGATTCAAGGCTCTCACCAATGTTAGCCACATAAATGTGAACTTGAGCCGCAGCAATGAGTCTTTGGCTTCGGTTAGCAGAAGGCTTAACAATAAGCAACATTTTCTGCGCATCTTTAAAATGCTCTGCTGATACACGTCTTATTTCATTAATTGTCAGCCTCTCTTTTTCATAAGTCCATTTTTCTTTCT